ACTTTCTTTTTCTCTTTCCCTCTGCTTGTTTTGTTTCTCTGAAAGCCTCTTGGAGTTGTAGTAGAATTCAATACACTGTGACACCTGCTTTGTTCTCACCTGAAAGTATGAGAACTGTAAATACTCTGATCTCTGATATTTGGTGGTTTGGAGTTGCAAATATTCAATATATTACCATTTTGTGTATAAAGGAGAAATCTTTTCCATAAATTGCAAATGCTTTATGGAACAGTCTTTGTTCACTCAAACTCCATATATTCATGCCTAAAGGGAAAGTGAAACGGGATTGGTCTTATTTATAATATGCCGACTGTAAGAGTTTTTGACAATCAACAAATGAGTGTTTACCAGAATAGTGATAGTTTTCTGATGGAGGGGAGTTTTTAAACAACAGCATCTCCAGCGCTGCCTGTTACCAGGGAAAATAAGGAAATTAAATATTATGCTGCATTATTTTGGGAAAAACAGTGATCAGAAGTCATGATTACCAAGGACATTATGAAGAGGTAACTGAAAGCAATCACAAAATATCATGCATCTACAAACATGAATTCATAATGAATATTGCACTCACTAGAATGTTTCCCTGGCAATGAGACAGGCTATGAAGAGCAAGCTCCAGATTGGCGCCACCTCCTGGTAGAACACTGGAGGCACTCAGGTCAAGAAGATTCTCCACTGAGGTTCGAGATCACACTCATTAATGAAGAAAAAACTAGTGGTTTAATGGTAATTAAAATATTTGATTTTGATTACCGTGCTGTAAAAGGATGTCATTTTCCTCTAACTCTGCCCAAGGTTTCCATAGTAACTCCTCCCTGACTGGTTCCTCTGGACACACCTCATGCTCTCTTCCTATAATCAGATCTGGCAGCTCAGCTTGGAACTCTGGGCCTATATTTATGCACCTTGGGTGTGAATTGACAAAGTTTAATGAAATCATCTGTCTCAGAAACGCGTGACACATAAGTTTCTTATCCCTCTGGGTAAATTTCACATATCGTTTATTTTTTATTTGTTTTTTACATTTTTTACTTTATTGGAATGGGCAGGTACGAAACTTAGTAAAGATTTTGGCACTTGCTATGTGAACATGCGCGCGCGCGCGCGCGCACACAAAAAAATCATGGGCATGATTTGAAAAGGTTAAATGGTATGATCGACTGACACTGATGTGCCGTAATCAAAGTCAGTCTTACCTGACTGATGATGGCTGCAATTCTCTCTTCCTCCAGACTTTCTTTTTCTCTCTCCCTCTGCTTGTTTTGTTTCTCTGAAAGCCTCTTGGAGTTGTAGTAGAATTCAATACACTGTGACACCTGCTTTGTTCTCACCTGAAAGTATGAGAACTGTAAATACTCTGATCTCTGATATTTGGTGGTTTGGAGTTGCAAATATTCAATATATTACCATTTTGTGTATAAAGGAGAAATCTTTTCCATAAATTGCAAATGCTTTATGGAACAGTCTTTGTTCACTCAAACTCCATATATTCATGCCTAAAGGGAAAGTGAAACGGGATTGGTCTTATTTATAATATGCCGACTGTAAGAGTTTTTGACAATCAACAAATGAGTGTTTACCAGAATAGTGATAGTTTTCTGATGGAGGGGAGTTTTTAAACAACAGCATCTCCAGCGCTGCCTGTTACCAGGGAAAATAAGGAAATTAAATATTATGCTGCATTATTTTGGGAAAAACAGTGATCAGAAGTCATGATTACCAAGGACATTATGAAGAGGTAACTGAAAGCAATCACAAAATATCATGCATCTACAAACATGAATTCATAATGAATATTGCACTCACTAGAATGTTTCCCTGGCAATGAGACAGGCTATGAAGAGCAAGCTCCAGATTGGCGCCACCTCCTGGTAGAACACTGGAGGCACTCAGGTCAAGAAGATTCTCCACTGAGGTTCGAGATCACACTCATTAATGAAGAAAAAACTAGTGGTTTAATGGTAATTAAAATATTTGATTTTGATTACCGTGCTGTAAAAGGATGTCATTTTCCTCTAACTCTGCCCAAGGTTTCCATAGTAACTCCTCCCTGACTGGTTCCTCTGGACACACCTCATGCTCTCTTCCTATAATCAGATCTGGCAGCTCAGCTTGGAACTCTGGGCCTATATTTATGCACCTTGGGTGTGAATTGACAAAGTTTAATGAAATCATCTGTCTCAGAAACGCGTGACACATAAGTTTCTTATCCCTCTGGGTAAATTTCACATATCGTTTATTTTTTATTTGTTTTTTAAATTTTTTACTTTATTGGAATGGGCAGGTACGAAACTTAGCAAAGATTTTGGCACTTGCTATGTGAACATGCGCGCGCGCACACACACACACACAAAAATCATGGGCATGATTTGAAAAGGTTAAATGGTCATATTTGTATTGTTCACAGTCATTGAAAATTAATGGGAAGGGATTTTTTTGTTGTAGAAATGTTTGGTATTGCACCCAAACTAAATCTTACTGAGACCTCGTTTATTTGTGATATCAACCTCAAATTTGGAACGCAACTTGTTTAGATTCATGGCTTTGGTTTTCTTGCAGCTTTTGAGTAAAACGTTTTGAAAATATATATTTCATATTAAAAAAATTGTATTTTGTGCATTTTTCATAACGGCTAACTTCAATAACTTTTGTTTCACTTAAACTTCACTTCATCAATAATCTGCCATGTGTCAGAAGAGACCAAACTTAAGTCTGTGCTTCAGGGGCCTGTTTCATAAAACAAGTTTACCAAATAAGCCAGGCTTATTTCAGTTAGTCTGACTTATTTTGAACCAAATCAACTGACAATATGTGAGACTAACTAAAATAAACCTGGCTTATTTGGTAAACTTGTTTTATGAAACTGTCCCCAGTTCAAGTTTTACGACAGTTTAAGTTGGAAATGTAATTTTCAGGTCTATGCTCAAAAAGTGGTTTGCAGGTATCAAATGGATCATAACTATGAATATAATTTAGAACCAAACATTTCCTAAAAAAACCTAAATATTAAATTAAAAAAAACTATCAAGATACAATATAGAACATTCATTTAATTAAATAAAAAAAAATATATTTTTTTTTTTTACTGCCATGTGAACAATGCCAGAGGGTTAAAATAAGGAAGATTCAACACAACCAAGCAGATGCTCACCAAATCAAGAAAGCAAAAACTTGCATTATTTATGTCCTTACAAATTATTGTTGTCAAATAAGTAACATTTATTTTAGCTGTTCAGACATGCTCTAAATAAAAATA